CGGATCAGAACAAACTTTTCCTCTGTAGCAAATGTAAACGTGTGAAATATAAATGATACTTTCTGGTTGGAAATTCAACAAAACTGTTTCCTTTAATGCTCTCTCAGTATTTTGTCTTTATCTAAATCAGGATTGAAACGATGAATCGGATTAATGGTGATTAATTCATTATTGAAATAATTTCAACTGATTTAGTAATCAATTATTTTAGAGACTCTAATAAAGGCCTTCAGCTAAAGCAATCCACCTAGAGCGATAATTACATAAAATTGGGAAAATATATATATTTTATTTATTATTATTATTATTTTTTATTCAAGATAAAGTAAGCTCTACCCAGAACTGGAAAATTTATATTCACCTGGTTTAATTTTATAAAAATCTTCCTTAAGTAACTCTTTGCTTTCTGATTTTAATCAATTAATCGAAAAAATAATCCAGAGATTATTTCATTAGCATTATTTGTAGCCCTAATCTTAATTAATATTAATGATTTACAAAAGTCAGTCATTAAATGGAGGACAATTAAAAGGTTGAATCTTGTAATGAATGGTTAAGGTTTCATCATTTTTGTTTTACTCATCACCTTTTTACAAATTTCCCCTTAAAGCAAATTCAGCACCCCACAGCATCACTGATTGCTAAAGTAGCTACGGCGCAGGATGACATCACAGGCGACGGTACAACCTCGAATGTCCTCATCATCGGCGAGCTGTTGAAGCAGGCTGACCTCTACGTCTCAGAGGTAAGAGCTTATTGAAGGGGATTCAGTCACCGTTTTTCAAAATTCTCCTAAATGTTTAATGATTTTTTATCACATGTTTTGTAATCCTGAGGACATTCCTAATTTTGTGCTGCAGGGTCTACATCCAAGAATAATAGCCGAAGGCTTTGAGGCAGCAAAAGAGAAAGCCCTCACTGTTCTGGAGGAACTGAAAGTCACTCGGGAGATGGACAGAGAGACGCTCATCCATGTAGCCAGAACTTCTCTGAGGACCAAGGTCCACACTGAGCTGGCCGACCTGCTCACTGAGGTGAGGCATGAGGGGACAGATGGAGGCATTTTTACTCTATGAAAAACTTGGTGATGTTTTTCTTCCTGCTTATGGCTACATTGTGAGAATCTAGTAAAATACAAACTTTTGTTCTTGAAAAAGTTGAGAACAGTGATGTCTTTCAGCTGTATTGAATACAGGCCATTTTCTTTCACTAGTTTTAGGTAAAAATCTGCATATTTATTAGTGTCTTTTTATCACACAATTGCCTTTAATTTAGTGTGGTTGGTTTCTAGACTCCCGTTCCTCAATAGGAATGATTTATTTTTGTTATTAAAACATTCGCTGCCTCTAATGGGAACAGAGTTTTGCATCTGATGTGTAAATTTGATAGAGATCTGATCTGATGTCTCTGAAAAACCATAATTAAAAACATTTGGCATAATTTTCGTTTTTTCAGTCTTCTTAGAGGTCGAGGTCATGTCCTGATCATTGTCAGAAGATTTGCAACAAAACTTTAATATTTGCGCTTCCTTTAATATCTCATGTAGCGATTTTGATGACTTTAATAATTCTACATCTTGCAGCTCTATGGAAAACTATAAAGCAGAGCTATACGATAATCTTTTTTAACAGGAGCACTAGGGCCCCCAAGTGAAGCAAAAGTAGGAGTACAAAAAAAATTAGGGGCCTTATAAAGTTTCTAAAATGGTGACATTTTTGTTACATTAAAATGAACCTGGGTAATATTTCATGTTTCGTAAGGCTGTCTTTATTTCAAACGGGG